CTCTTTAGAGTGTACAGGTTTCCATCCTCTACAGTGTCAGCGACAAATTCTTTAGCCAAATCAAGGGTCCTCAGGTTACATGGCGACAGTAATGTTCAAACCATGGTTGTTTACACCAGCTCATGTTATATGTCACTGTGTGCTGCAAATCTAATTTTGGAATTTTTACAGGAGTAGGGCACAGAAAATTTTTAGGTTTGTTTTCATTTCCTTCTCACTTCTCAGTGCACACATGCATTTTTATTGGGTTATTATATCCTCCCAAACCTTATGGTTTTGTACTCATTTTCTGCAGGAGATACCACAAGCAATCATTCAACAGACCACTGGAATTTTTGTCAATGGTTGTTGGGTCGGAATTCATAAGAACCCTGACCTGTTGGTTAAGACTCTTAGGTGATTAAGAAGGCAGGTTTCTTCCATCCTATACTTCCTAATTGCAGATAGAAAGACAAATTAGATGAGTCAAACAAAACTGATTTTATACAAGAGTCCTTTTAAACAAACCTACCGCTACTTATTACCCACTCACATATACAAGCTTGAGAAATATATATAACTGATTGAGGTAATTGTTTTTAACAATGGTGTTTAATATGAAATTCAAACTTCTTTTCATGACACAGGTATCTACTGGAATTTCCATTTACTTTCGTAGGATATACAGAGACAGGTAACCCTGCATCTTATTAAGAGTGCACTTCAATGACCTTGGCATCTCAAATTTACTTGGTCTTCATTTTCCGATTGATGTCGACACTAAAGCTTGTGTGGTCCGTGATATCGGTCTTACACAACTTCGATTCTTCACGAATTATGGACGCTGTAGTCGCCCATTGTTTATTGTTGAGGGCCAAGAGCTGCTCATTAAAAAGGCACATATCCGAGCCTTGCAACAAAAGATCTCGCCATTGATCAACATCTCGCTGCCTTCCACTTCATTTTACATGTGCATAATTTTTCTCATAGGCTTCTTCTATCCAGCCTTGCAACAAAAGGTCTCCGCCATTGATCATCGCCTCTTTCCTTCCACTTAATTTTACATGCGCATATTTTTTCTCATAGGCTTCTTCGATCCTTTTGTCCACTTATCCAGGAGAGTTCTAATGAAGGTTGGCATGAACTGGTCTCAAAAGGATATATAGAGTACATAGATGCTGAAGAAGAGGAGACTACCATGGTCTCCATGACCATAAATGTAAATCAGATATGCATGTGCAAAATTGATTCAACATATTCCGAGGCCCTTGTGTATGAAAGGGATATTGTCTACCGCTCGAGAGATTCTTCTATGTACATTAGTTCTCTTTTTTTCATTGCAAGTACTTTGTTCTGATTATATAGTCAGGGATGAGTGAAGGATCCTATACTTTTTCCTTGATCTTGAATTCCTAATATACTAACTCCATGGAACAATTCAGCTTCATGCCTTTATTTCACATTTGGACATTTACACTTCAGTCATAGTTTGCACCTGTAGCTGATGATGGCGCCTCGCACTAGTAGATGGCCAAACAGGCCCGATTGATGGGCCGACATAGATCTGGTCTCAAAAAGGATGACATAGGACCGACATGGCACTAAGCCCTTGGTGCTTGCTCGGGCATGACATGACCATAGTGTCATGCCTAACTCAAGCCCGTAGGGCCAACACGGACACAAAACAACACATTTTGGATAGACATGATGTGGTGGATCTTTTTCCTAGTCGTTGGATGGCCTCAAAAATTTTAGAACCGTTGGAGACTATATAAATAATATCCCCAAACATTAGCTCCAAAACACCAGCTCCCTTATCCGGCCGTCTCCTCCTATAACTCCCCGCACGCTACATACCCAGGTTCCCTTGTGGCGGCGCAGCGATGGCCTCGGGCGTGGGGGGGGGGGGTGCTGCTGAGGGGAGCGGCAGTGGGCGGCAAGATGGCCTCGGTGTGACAGCCTGACAGGCGCACGTCTTATTCTCATGTATTTTGTTAGACATATTATTAAGTCTAGATGCATAGTAAAATAGATGTACATAAAAGTCAAACGGCTTATAATTTGGAACGGAGGGAGTAGTGTTGTACCAATTAGTGCCACCACAGTGCCAGGATCATGCCGTTGGTTTGACCATATAACATTTTGCTAAATCTGCCTCCGTAAATAAAAACTAAAAAGGAGTTGCCTCTAAAATAGTTTCTCTGCTGGTGCAGGGATGTCGTCGATGCAGAGGACTCCAAGGTCAGTGACGAACGGCCATGAGCACCGCTTTCACCGGGCGTAGATTTGTCTTAACCCCATGGGCCACCATGGATCGGGCCATTGATCCCCACCAACACACGTGCTGGGCAAATGCGGTTTTCGATGGAGCGGGCGGGGAGTTCAACCCGCGTACTGCGATCCACGCACACAACACGGGGTTTTCTTCTTTTCACGGAGTATTTGATGTAAAACCCTGGCCTATCAATTTTTAGCCACAGATATCTACATCCCAAGGAAACGGAGATCGCTTGCCGGAAGGCTCACCATATGTCCCGCACGCATGTTTTCAAATCTCCTACAGCAGCGGCAAGCCATGCATGCATGGGGGACTAGAACAGGTCCTTGGCCATGGAGAAAACTCGATCGCTTGCAAGAGCACACCGTAGCATGTATATAAGCCCGTTCGGGTGGCACCCTTCCTCTCATCACCATCGCCAGGAACCCACCAAAGTACACCACAGACCACACAGGAGGAGGCCGGGGACACGTACCTACCGAGAGCGCACACACGGAACATACACTTGCACAACACACACACAATATATATATATATATATAGTCACCGCAACATATGCAACATTTAGATAAAACACTTGCAACACACTTCTGAAAAACCGTTGAAATATTTGAAACATACACTTGCAACATACATGTATAGCATTGCAACATATGCATCTTCTAGATAAACACTTACAACTTGCAACATGGAAACACTTGCTGCAACACAAAACTGAAACATTAGGAATATACTCATGCAACGTATGTGTGAAACATATTCAACATCTAGATCAAAATGCGTACAAACGTACGTCTGAAACAGATGAAACATTTTAAACAAACGTTGCAACATTCTCTAAAACAATTGCAACTATATGCAATATGTGCAACATCCCGATCTACTTTTGCAACATCCATATGAAGCACTTGCAACAAACCTCTGAAATATCTGAAACACTTAAAACATATGCTTGCAACATGCGTTTTCAGTGCAACGCAACATTTCAAGGCTGCTTGGGAGAATAGAGGCTCATCGGCGTGTGGAGATCATCGGAGGCAGCGTCCCGGCAAGAGCGGCGGTTGCATGACGCAGCAAGGAGGACGCGACAAGGAGGCAAATACCGCCGCGACGACGAGAGGGAGCCAGATCCGCCAGGGAGCCACTCGTGGCTGGCTCCCGCCAGGCTGGGTCCGCCTGCGGACTGGCCGGCGGCGGCGCGAAGCCGCTTATGTCGAGCTAGGGCCGCTGGCCTCCTTTTCGCCGTGGGCTCAGCGGTCACACCGAGAGTCCGCTTACGCCGCCGCGCGTGCCGAGACGCCGCCTGCACTAGAGAGAGAGAAAGAGAGAGAGGGGGTGTAGCGCTGGAGGCATAAGAAAGCGGAGTGTTGGTTGATAAGGCACGCGCTACGGGCGCATGCGCGTGTCAAGGTCGGGGTAAAGGCGCGTGCAGGTCGTGTCTAGCTGGTACATGTACACGGGTGGGGTACAGGTACAGGCGTGGCACGGGTCCGGATTCGGGTTGTCCGGACGCCCTCGCCCTATCATTATCGTTCTTTTTAGCTGTTGGATGGCCTCAAATTTTTTGAACCCGATATAGATAAGAGACCATATAAATATCCCAAACATTCGATTGATTGTTTCGCGGGTCGATAAGCCACCTGAAGTTGATTTATTGTGAGAGAGAAACACTATATACCATGACCGATAAGCCGCATATAAGTTGAAGCAAACAGGTCCATTAGCTACGAAACACCAGCTCCTTTTCCAGCCGTCTCACGGTGCATACTCCTGGTTCCGTGCGAGGTGCCAGGCACTGCATGGACTCAGATTGCTGGCACGAGCCTGGTGTGCTACCGTGCCCATTGACATGGCACGACACGGCTAATTAAGTACACGTAGGTCCGTGTCTAGGTCACATGGCACGACACAGGACTAGGACACGCATTGTCGTACCAATCAGTGCCTACCACATCGTGCCAGGATCATACCGTCGGTTTGACCATATAAAATGTTGCTTAAATCTGCCTTCGTATAAAAGAGTTGCCTCTAGAAATAGTTTCTCTGCTGGTGCAAGGATGTCATCGATGCACAGGACTCCGAGGTCGGCAACGAGCGGCCATGAGATCCATTTTTTTAGCTCCGAGTCTGAGGTCCAGGGTGTTGAGACACAAGAACGAGGTGGCACATGGTCGTGACTCATGGGCACCGTCTCACCGGGCGTAGATTTTGTCTTAACCCCATGGGTCACCATGGATCGGGGGCCATTGACCCCACCAACACACGTGCTGGCAAATGCGGTTTTCGATGGAGCGTGCCGGGGGAGTTCAACCCGGCGTGGGCTGCGACTGCGACCTACGGAAGACGTGGTTCGGGTTCAAATCAACCTCAAACCCACCTATCAGTTTTTAGCCACAGATCTTCAAGACTTCAACCCAATTAAGGACACGGAGACACCTTGCGGAAGGCTCACCATATGTCCCGGCAGGCATGTTGAACTCTCCTACAGCAGCGGCAAGCCATGCATCCATGGGGGAGGAGAACAGGTCCTTGGCCATGGAGAAAACCTCGATCGCTTGCAAGAGCACACGGAGGCGCTAGAGATAGCATGTATATAAGCCCGTGCGGGTGGCACCTTCCTCTCATCACCTATCGCCAGGAACCACCACAGTGGTACACCGCACACCACACAGGAGGAGGGGACACACGTATACACATACCGAGAGCACACACCGTCTCCTACCCGCCGTGACCGCGACGCGCCATGGCCATGGCTCGCTCCGTCGCGCACCTCTTCTTCCTCCTCCTCCTCGTCTCCACCGCGCCCGCCGTGCGGACCATCCCCGACGCCGGAAACCTCCAGGAGGCGTGCAACAAGACGCTGTTCCCCAAACTGTGCCTGCAGGCGCTCAAGGACAACCCGGAGTGCCAGGCGGGGCCCGTCACCCCGCGCCGCCTCGCCGAGCTGCTCGTGTACGTCTCCGCCGAGGTGGGCATGACGGTGGCGGCGTTCGCGCACCACGAGCTCAACGCCATCAGGGACGACGTGCTGTACCGGTGCCTCGATACCTGCTCCGAAGACATCGAGGAGGCCGTGGCGCACCTCAGCGCGCTCTCCCGCGACTTCTCCGACGCCAAGTTCCTCGAGGTCAAGTCCTGGCTCGCCTCCACGCTCGGCGGCACCTCCACCTGCGAGGACGCCTGCAAGGACGCCCCAGTCAGCGATATCAAGAACGCATGCATCACCAAGAGCTTCGAGTTCGAGAAGCTGCTGCGCGTCACGCTCGACCTCATCACCGAGGCTTCCGGCTCCATGTCGGCCGAGGTCGCCCTGCCTCCCTCGGTGGCGGCGTCGGGCGCCAGCGCGCCTTTGCTGTACGACGGCTCGTCCGCTGGCGCCCCTGCCTATGGCGCGCCGTCTCCCTGGCGGCGGTGCCCCAGCTTATGGCGCCAGCGGCTCACCGGCACCGACCCTGGGGAAGAGTATTGCTTCCGACGCGTAACGCGACCGCATGAGTGATATATATGGTTGGCGGCACACGCACCTTATGTGCCAAGGATTTTGTTCTTTCCATCCCACAATTATCCATGCATAAGTATGCCAGTTTAGAATTAGAGTTATTTGGAGGTCGAACTGCATAATTGATGCAAATATAATCAGGCCAGAAAATGGCACATAGGCCGTAGTTGAGTGTGCTTTATTATTATTATTATTACGTTTTGATAGGATGGGTTGAAGGATTTAATGTAGCATTGATGTTTGCTTTTATGAAAAATGTAACATTGATGTTAGCTATGTTACTTTGACATGTTGCAGCAGTAAGCCATCATCTGTTTTTTTCCCTAAAAACATATAATGTACTACCATTCCAAATTGAAACTTTAACTGTTACTTACATTTGTAGTTTATTGTTTGTTAGGAAAATAATACTATCAAACAACATCAAACTACTTTTATTCAGAGGGCAACTATTGGTCGAAGATTACAATTAGATTTAAAATGTGTGCATGTCATTAGAAAAAGAAAAGGATCAGAGGGAGTGTTTCTTTTATAAAAAAAAACTTGAGGAGTCGGGGCCCCTACAACGAATATATGCAAAAAAAAGAGAGCAAGTACAAAGGAAAACATACAGAGCTCAAGAAACAAAGAAGAAAAAAAGAAAATAAGAAGTAGACAACAAATTACACCAGATTTTATGTCCATCGATCCAACATAACAACTACCTTTTATTCAAAGGAATAGGAATTATATTAAAATTTCACACAATATATCCCAAGTTACACATGTAAAAATCCAAAATAAAAAATATATAATACTTTATCCAAATTCTTTCGTCGTTTCTTCCACGGTGGCCTTCCTCGATGCAAAGTCAATGTTCTAGGTGAATCAGAGCCTCGTTGAACACCTAAGCCAGTATACTCCTTATGTCAATCCAACGATCAACCGTAAAGCATTGGACATGTCAAGATCCAATGTTCAAACTAGTCCAAAACGCATCTCGAATCAATAAAAGAACATCGCAAAGATAAATGAACATTGGCAGTTGCATCGCTTCTAGTACAACATAGGATGCACATTTGTCACCTTTAATCCTTGACTTTCTCCGAGACCATCGACAATGAGGTCAATGACCCGAGTAATTGTCCTCGTTGGGAGTGCCTATGAGCATCCCTCTCCATGTAGATAATGGCCACAAATTGGCCAACCTGTCGATGAAACCGATGCCTGCGCAATGGCGATCTTGTCGTGAAAATCACCAAGTCATCGCACGTAGCAAGATTCCGCCACCAAAAATCATTTGATGTAGATTTATTTGGGCTAAACCCTAAGAAAACTAGATCTAAAAACTACTAGTAAGAGAGATGGATCCCTTTTTATTCTTGCCACTAGCAGACTCTGCCGGAGAGGGGCCTAGATGATGGTGGTGGCGACGAGGAGCGAAGTGTGGTTTCCTGTTGGGGCGTTAGGCGGCTTTGCAAAATCTAACCTTATGTTGAACCAAGTGTTGGTCCCACGACAAGCAAGGTAAGCGGGCGCCTCATGCAAGCCTAGGTCGGTTTCGCTGCATTGGGATTAACCAGCTCTGCTCATGCTCAACTAATTTGAGCTTACTAAAGGCGCATTCTACATTAAGAGGTCATGATTTATATCCTTCACGTCAGAGACGGACATCGAATCCAACTCGGGAGCTCCGCTTGGCCAGCATACAGCTTGAGAATAGAGATCCTCGCGCCATCCCGAGCATGGCTCGAGGCCTGAGGGGCTCGTGGGCTCTTGTTGAGTACTCTAACAAAGGGGTTACCTAAACCCCTAGATTAGCACCTTGACAATATGATCAACCCCCTTATTGATTCTCTTAATCAACCAAGGGATCGAGGGCTACACCCGGTGTGTGCGCTCGCACGCACACACCGAACACTAGGAACATATCATTAGGCCCAAGATGGCCCATTCCTTTAATAGTGTAGGGCCTTAGTGGGGAGCTACATACAAGGCAAGCCTAATGACCACTAGTAGAAATGTGCACATTTATGATTAAATCTTAATGATTTAATCAAAATCTATCATAGAAGATCGATTTCTAGAACGATTTTTTTGTGTCATTATATATCATTAGTGACGGTCATCTATCATCGCTTCTTTATGACGAAACTCGATATCGCCACAAAATTCATCATTTAACGACATAAGATTTCGCCACCGATACACGCATAACTGCTCTTACTCATCTGTGATGATCTGCTTTTAGAATCAGGACGAACAAGACTTCGCCATTGAACCAATTACTCATCTATGACAAATGGTTTTAGAACTGTAACAAATGCCACTTCATCATAAGTCTCCGCATGTCCTTTATCCATCCGACGGTACCGTGGGACTCTGCAGTATCAGTAGCACCACGCCAACCACACCGGCATGGTAAGGCGGAACCATAGAAAAATTGTATCTTTTCGTCAGACGGTCTCGGATGAAGATGATTTTTATACGAATGTTGTAGAGCACTTCCGACCTTGGGTGGCCTCGACTCGACCTAATGTGTGGAACTGCGCGCCCACCGGGCGCCATCCCAAGCAACCGCTCGCCTGTGTAGACAAAGGGAATCTCGCTCTAGGTACGGATAAGGGCTCATAGCTTGACACACGGGTAGAGATGCAGGGCATCGAACCCTCACTGGAGCTCTGTTCCTCGCCTCGCAAAGGCTGTCAGTGTTTGACACACTTCGACTTAGGGTCACATCTGGGGTGTGACACAACACAACAAAGACATTCATGACCTATGCATGGGGATTTACAGGCCAGCTACCAGTCTCCCAAGCATGCACCCTCTCCCTGCCACGAGAAGGGCAAGACCAGGTGAGGCACAATGGCAATCCAGTCCTCCGATAGTCTCTCTAGGCTCCTACAGCTTGGTGTTAAGGGCGGTTCGATCGACAGCCACCAGGCGCCACCAGCAGCTCAAGATCGTGACACAAAACCCTTGTGCTCCTTGCACTAAGGGAGCTTCAAATCCATTTCTCCTATACTCCTCTCGTCCTCTAGCATATAAGGAGTGGCAGAGGCCACCGCAGTTGAAGGGATTGGACCCCAAATGAATCTGGAAAACCATAGATCACCACGAGCTAGCGCTCCCCTAGCTACCACCTCTCTCTCTCTCCTCCTCCTTCAAAGAACTCAATTGAGCATTGTAAACACCGAAGAACTAGCTTCTAGACATAGGGCTTAGATGCCCGACCAGGTTAAATCTTTTGTGTCTTGAGTGCTAAACCACTAGAGTACCACACACATCGATCCATCGATTGAATCGCTAATCACTACCACAGTTACTAACCCATGATAGTAGGGTATGAATTGGGTGGGGTGAAAATCGAACCCCCTCTAGGAGATTTAGATGGGTGAGGTGGTGCCCTGATTCGAGGGTCACCCCTCAGCCTACAACTCGCGCCTATTTGATGTCCTCCGCATGTCTCATCTATGGTATTGACCCCTAGATTCTGATATGATGTGCACCTTAGGTAGGTGACTGGAACCATTTGTGCCCCACTGTAGCTCTCTCTGACTTCTGTCAACTTCTGTCCACACTCTCAGGACTTCCAAGTTCAATCTTGATCCACGGCCCCATTGAAGCACACCGAAGCAATCAGCGTATGCTTAAGCTTCACGTGTCTTCTTGCATATCCTCGAAGGAAAGCCTTTCACTGTCACCAATGTGCTTGAAGCCTCGCGATGTGGAATCAAGTCGGAATCCATACCCTCTTTTGTCGCCTTTTTATCGCGATGCTTCACCAACAACAGGAAGTCCCATGAGGTCGGAGCATGACGAAGGCAGAAAGTTGCCGTTCGGATTTTGAGTCATAAGTGGAAGGGACGATGCGAAACATCATCTCCTCGCTGAACGTGGATGTTCGGCATGGCAGCCCTCATCAAATCTGGATACATAAATATATTGATGAGATATCCATGCATAGCAAAAGCATTGTTATTTATCTTCTTTTTGATTTTGTAAAATATCAGCATGATGTTTTTATTTTAGTGTGCAATTCCGACATAGCGAGAAGTAGAGAGAAATGGTCTTAATTAAGTATTTTATTGACGACTATATCTGCTGGAGAAATATAATCATGGGACCAAGAAGAATGTGTGCAGTGCAAGCAATTCCTATATATGGAGCATCTACCCTTCTGCTGTTCTCACACCTGTCGTACGTAATGTACAAATTTGGCAGTGTCGATGTAAATAAGAAGAGAAAACTGACGAAACAAGAATTTGAGCCACACATAACGACCCAAGAAACTGGGGACACCTGTCGTAGATGCCACATGGAAGGTTTCCAGTATGTGCTGCGGATGGCACGTTCCACCTGTCGTCTTTCTCCTAAAACGGCGGTATGCCATATTACGCAAAGGGCGTCGTTTGGCCCTCGACGCCTTGAGCTCACAAAAGGCCACAGATATAGCCCGTGCATTTACCACCCTTCAATTCGTAATCAATCACACCGGGAGAGAAACGCGAACAACCAGCGATCGCCATGGCTTCGCTCTGTCTCGTCGCCGCCGCCGTCGCGCCTCTGCTCCTCCTCTCCGTCCTCGTTCCACCGCGGCCGCCGTATCGGGCCGTGGGCGACACGTGCAGGACGTGCGCGCAAGACGCAGTTCCCTAAGATCTGCGTGGACAGCCTCGCGGCGAAGCCGAGAGAGTCAGAAGGCGACCCTGCGGAAGCTGGCGGAGCTTGTTCGTGAACATCGCGGTGAGAAGGGTGCTGGATGGCCCACACGTTCGTGCACGGCGCGCTAACGCCGCCGGAACAACGCCGGCCTGTTCAAATGCTACGACAGCTGCCCGACGACGAGGAGAGGCGGTGGCAATTTCAACGGGCTGGTCAGAGCCACATGGACGCCAAGTTCCTGAGCTCAAGTCGTGGCTTATCCTCCACGCTCAGGGGCACCTCACCTGCGAGGACGCTTGCCTGCAAGGACGCGCCCCAAGAGCGGCGACAAGGACGACGTCGTCAACTTCAGCCTC